AATGCCAGCCACGAGACAGCAGACTACACTCCTCGTGGGCGCGGCTTTCTTCTTGGCAATGACGTCAGTTTATTGTTCCTGAATAACTGGACCAGTCATGTGGACTTGGCAAACAATGACCTCCACCTTCGATTGTCTCAGTGAAATCGAATGACCGACTGCAGTGAAAGCATCTGTATCGCCTTTGACTACTCGGAAGCAACTGCAGTGAGATAAGTAATGGGTTTGTATTCGTATCTGCCGCTGTACGTGTCTACAAGCTAGACACCCGTCCACAGCATGATAAAATGTCCACATAAAACATGTAAGATGTCGATGACCCGTAAAATGTTGAAAAACTAGTCTTAAAACATCACGGTCGCCACCCAACGTGGTCCAAGGCAGGTGAAACCTCTTGTGTCGGACAGTGTACCTTTCTAACAAGTTGTTTGACAGCGCTCGGGGTGTGCCCAGCTTTAAGGCGAGTCACCACGACGGAGCGACAAGATCCAGATCCTTGCCCTGGAGACATCTGGCCCACACAATTTAGATTCACGAATGCACACAGACAAATCGTGATGCTTGTCTGACAATACAAAGATCATTACTGCGATGGAGGCACCAACGCTGGTTAAGTTTTACCAGGCTATATGGCGCTAAAACCAAGATGGCAGCCATCATTGTAGACACTGCGTTCATAACCTAAAATCCTTACTAACCTTTAAAATATAAAGAGACAATGACAATTGTAATTTATTAGATCTGTTGGTTGATTCCACTCCTCTGACTCAAATATTTTGCACATTGACCGATGATAAAGTTTTGCCACTGCAAGGGGGCATAAAAGAGCATATAGAATTATTAAAGTGTAATTTATAACAACTTTTTAACACTCATATAATTCTCGATGTTTATACAATATGGACCCATCACAGTAGATACTTTTAACTTTTACACTTACAAAATAATTTCTACTATTATTTATTTATCTTTATTTTTTGCTTTAACTGTTCCATATTTGGATGTCATATCCTCCACCTGCAAACTTAGTACAAGAGAAAATGCACTTACAATTTACAAAACTTTGACTTGATCTGTGTAGGCACGCTGGAATAGTCTGAAGAATTAGAAAGGAGGAGAAAGAGATGTTTGGAATCACAAATGAAGTCACGATAACTGTAGGCTACATACTATTAAATCATAATCTGAAATATCACGAAAACAGAATGCTGCTTACAAGCCGAGGAGCAACGACGCTTGGGAACACTGAGCAGACAACCCAGGCTCCTAGCAGGCCGCTTTGCCTGATAAGGACAACGTTGGAATTAAACTTAAGTTACTTAGGAGACCGCAGACACACTTGCACTTACACAGGTACAATAATTTTCATTGGTTTGTAGCTCGTTTAACAACACTTATTGTCAAATGTTACAGATCTTCTGCAGTGAACTGAAAATGAAAGGGAGAAATAATTTGGTAATGTTTAAAGTACCATCTCAAGTTTTTCTTAAAGTGCTTGAAGAGAACAATGAAAAATCTCACAAACACTGGGTTTGAATCTCGTACATCACAAATCAGAATCTGTTACGGCACTTACTCGCTACTCTAATGATGTGAACATACAAAGACATCTCAAATAACCAACCAAAGGAACTTTGCTGTTGCCCGACACCAATGAAAAACTGTCCTGTCACGATTTGGGCTCCACTGCACGTGCTTAGACGGTTCTTCAATTCTTGGCTTCCATGCGACTGGCTTAAGGATGACTCAGACACGTCTCATCTCATTTGTGACACAGCTTCCTAAATATTATTTTCATGTTATCCACAAACAAAAGCAATTAGTAATAAACACTATAAAAATAAAATTATACTTTCTTTAAAATATATAAGAAATGTATTTTACACAATAAACTAGTTAATTATGAAACAGCTCAAGATGTTAAAATTCACAACCAAAATTGGCACCAGTGCCACCATCCTGCGCTGGAAGGTTCGAGTAAGTCGACTGCAGTGGCAGGCCACAGCTTATGGTAACAGAACTTTGCAGTGGCCATCAGGTTCATAAATTGACTCCAATATTGCATGTCATTAGATGTGCGACGTGCGTCTGCCTCTTCAGCGACTGCTAAGGTCCGACAGCTGGCATAGAGGATTAGAATCCACTGATCCTGCTTCACTACCTTACATGGAGGCAGCTTGATGCTGCCTGGATATTCCAGGCAAAACCTTGAATGAAATAACGATACAGCACGTCCCTCATCAACCTTCCTCACGTTCCTTCTGCGATGAATATGGCAAACATATTCCTGGACCAACCAATAAAACCTGCTGGGTACAGAAAGGGAAGAAACCTGAACCATGGCTTCAGTTTGAGTTCAAGTAATTAAAATCAAAGCAATAAAATACTAAATTGCGTAAAAAATCTTGGTTTGGATAAGTTTCACAATTTCTTTCATACATCAGAACATCAATGATAAATTTACAAAGTTTCTCTTTCTTACAAGCATAAAATGGCAATATTATCCGCTTCGATACATTTCATAAACTTTCTCAAACATCGATTTACATTCTAACTTTACGCCTAATTTCGATACTAGCATAAAAATTCCAGATAGTTTCCGGTGGAGAGAATAGACCTCTTCTGGAGGAGGGCACAAGCGATGTTTCAGCATGGTGGGGATCAGAGACTGGATACGACGCGTCGTGTCGTGGGAACCAAAATCATATGGTTCAGATGATTTATGGAACACTTCACCCAGAATCATCACTGCCTCCACGTGAGCATCTTCCATGATCTGAAATGGTTTCATGACAATAATAACAGTTGTGGTTGCATAGTTAAGAGCTAATGGATGACGCAAACAAACTTTAACACACGGGACAGTCTGAGCAAAAGGTATCGTATGGGACGGGAGAGGACAGCTGCTGTTTGTACTGAGGCATCAGTTCCTTGTGACATTACTGAGATGAGATCTGCTTTGCTTTCAAGGAACTTCTGATTTTTCAGAAGAAGAGCAAACATACTAATTCGTATTTTGTACGAATAAGTGCCATGCTTTAAAAAATATAAATTTCTGTAAATTATGTGTCTTTTACAACAAAACTGTGGGAATAGAGTCAGATTTGAACATGGAACCTTTAAATCAGAAATCAAGAAAACCTTCCCTCACCAATGCAGGACAAATAACAGAGTGATATTGTGGATGGTAATATGGACACAGCTTTTGCTCATTAACTTAAAGTTATTGGACCACAAATACTTTACAGGCAAAAAGTAATTACACATTCTCTTCTGAATATCACAATATACATATTTCAGGACCCATTTCCAATCGCTCGTGGTGCGAGTTCCATCACATCGATAATAGTCTTCTGTCCTACATTTATTTACCATCAAATATGGATGTCCATGTGAATTGAAGTCTTCACCTGCATTTTGGCGTGGAACCAAATCACACATCATTAACATTAATTCATGTTTTGTTTTTTTTCAAATTAAGCAGACATGTTGGTTGTCTTTGCTTGACAGATATCTGGCATAAATATAATTAATGGAAGACAGTGAAAAGCCACACATGGGCAAATCAAACCTTGTATCTGCACACATCAAGCCATAAAAACTGACCAAATGCAGAAGAATAATTAACTTATCACATCACCTTGGCCTCATATCCTGCTAGAAACCCAATATCACGAGAGACCTGAAGAACTTTGTTTCGGTCGCCATCAGCCGCACCTCTTATAAGCTGGATGTACATGTCAACGAAAGTCTTACTGTAAGATCGCGATGCACCAAAATCTAACAACATCAACTGCAATAAAATCACAGTAAACATTTATATTTAATACGAGAAGTGAAATATCCTACAAACTTTATAACAGAAATGGTAAAGAAAAGATAAATGATAAACCACTATACGCCATGTAGGCACCTGGGCTGTACCCTCATATAGTCTGGTAGAAGTTTACTGATGTTTCAGAGGTCTTTGCTGCCTCCATCATCAGGGTTATTTTTAAACCTTACTTGTTTTCCAAACAGTTTTTTGCCATTAGACACAAAAACATTTGGGGAACTTAAGCAAATATTACCTTGGAAGATAACCTGATATGCATTATGGTAGAATAAATGTCCTTTATGTGAATAATTTCGCTCGATGCGGACATAGAATCACTTTATTTCCCCAACATTGTCGGGAAAATCTTAGATCAGAAAATGTACACATTCGCACAGCTATTATTCTGAGGTTTCTTTCTTCGACAAAAATGTAAATATTCTTGCAGTATTGTACATGATGAGAATACCTCTGACAGAAGAGAAGTGATAAAAAACGGCGTGATGCGTGTACCTAACATGGAAAAATATCACAAACAATGCACCAAAACCCCAGTTATGAAGTGGCTCTGCGCACGTGCGGATGAATGTTTCGAGGTGCATTATAGAAAAAATATTTTCTACAATAAAGTAAATTGAAATTCACAATTCCTTTCATGCACATGTAGCTTAACAAAAACTTGGTCCCACTTCTACAGAATAAATATTCTGTAGATATTCATCAGTGCAGTTAACATTTATTAAAATCCAACAAAGATATGAAATTTGTGGCCATTCAAACACCCTGTCATTTTATAGCTATTATTTACCAAAATTAAATATCCAGCAGAAAATAATCCCCGTTCAGGATCTCAACAGGGAACAAATTCTTTCACGCTGAAGGGTTAATGAAATACGAGGAAAAATTTTACATTCCACAACTCTTCTTATTTTCCTTACCAGCACATAATCGATAAGTAAACGCAAATGTCACAGGTGAGGCTTGCTCAAATGAAACCTGTTTGGCGATTGTTCTGGGCAAAGGAGTAAAGACCAATAAAAATAGTTCCCAAGGGCAATAATGCAAGCATCACATTAATTTTCCAGCTGATAAATCCCTTCTGCAGAAAACTCCCTTGACTGGCATTCTTCTTCTTCTTCTTAAATTGCCTATCCGTTCCGGATGTTGGCGATCAGCATAGCAATTTGAGCTTTACTGACTGCCATTGGGACCACAGGATTACTCAGACTGTAATATCTTCATCCAACCTGAATCTATGGCACTTCAGCACCTTCTTGAAGAAGCTGAACACAAGGAAGGTCAGGCCGTTTTCTTCACCATTAGTCGCCCATTGATACTGGCATTCAAGGACCCTGATATTATCATCAACGCACACCTGTACAGTGGAACACTGAGACATACACAGCATCACCAGGAGAAGAAATCCTGGCACACTCATGAGTGGTATCATAGAGTTGCATGACAATGCCTGTCCCCATTTGACTATCAGTCCAGGATATGCTGCATTTTATATACCGGAGGATGTCAGACTATCACTCATACACTTAATTTATTGACGGGAGAGGATAGTCGTTTCCATTGCATACTTACAGTTTTTGCCACGGGTAGAAAGCGGTCATACCATGTCTCAGTGTCCGCCACAATGTAATGCAAAACTGTGTCAAGATTTGCCTGATAGTGCTGCAAATTCTCCAGCAATTATGTCATTTGCTGCTGCTCAAAAGCACCAGTAAATACTTGCGCGACCCATTGTGCACACATCTTATGATCTCGAAATTAACGCAGTTAATTGTCGACTGCTTGTTTGTCTTGCAAACAATAACATGAACGACCATTTGCACCAACAGTACTCCCTAGTATCACCGTGCACAGGTTTCATTTGAACAACCTTCGCAGAATTTCTTTAGTGACTAGGAATCTACGCTCAAATTACCTGCCTAGTTTCTGGGCTGTAAAAAAAGTTAGACCAATTTGGGTCAGTCTGCATATAACGGAACTCAAAAAGTTCCTTCAGCCAAAGTTCTATCACGAGTCTGCTGATATGCGTCCTTGTCTCCAGATCCAGGTCCACACATTTATCCACTGGAATCCCTGACATTAGTTCAGTTGTGAAGATTTGCTTTGTGCTTAGGCTGTCTGAAATTGCATAACAATTAATAATATGGAGTATTTTTTTTAAATCTGTTTGAACTACATTCTATTTCAATAAACTATCACATTTTTTTTTTAAATCTGTTTGAACTACATTGTATTTCAATAAACTATCACAGTGTTTTGGGTACACAAGAAGTTGTCACACATTTTTGTTGAACTTCCAAGTTTCAGATAGAATAATTATTATAACTACTACTACTACTTGCAGAAACACAGAGCACCCTACACTAGGCCATAACTGCTTCCTTCCACACTCTCAGCATTCACTAACCAATTTATAATTTGATGCTACATAATTTCATCTACTGATAACTTTATTTTATAAACCTCAAATAAATAAAAACAATATTAATGCATTTAGAGGACAATAACTGCCATCTGTTATGATCAGACTAAACTACAACATTCATTTAGAACTGAAAAAGATTGATATTAAAACACACTGTACTCTCATGAAACTGTTTTGTCCATAAAGCACAGTACGCTCTTGAGCACGGCAAAACTGTTCCATCCACAACAGCACAAGGGTTAAAGGTGTGGCATGCATCCCACAGAAGTTCCAGAAATTCATTCCTCACTAAATCTCCAACAGATATAAAGCTCTTATAGATACTCAGCAGCATCAAGTTACCAATTATCATATTAATGCGGTTTTCCACTTCCTTCACTTACCATAATTGGCCAGGAAAATCCCACTCTAGACAAACATTTGTATGCATTTTTCATCTCTACATATTACCACACTCTCCCAATCCAAGAAAATAGTTGCAGATTAAGAATACTCTGAAGTAAATCCCCACTAGAAACTGAGGAAAACATAGACGAATCGAGAGATAATAGAATTCTGAGTTGTGTGGTAACGCTCACGAATAAGAGAACATCATAACATACCTACAACTTGAGCTACATAATATTCAGGATAAGGCTCCAATAACTGTTGAAATTTTTTTGTGCATTCTGCTTCACGAATATAGTCTACTTCCCAAGCAAGTTCTCTCTTTGCAACCTTAACGAGATTATCAATAAAGAAAGCTGAAACAAACAAGTATTACAGATTACAAAGTATCAGAGCAGACATCTCTATCTTTCTGGTTTAGCCCTGATATGGAAGGGAGTGTTGTTGAGAGTTCCATAAGACACGAATTTTAATGGGTTTCTGTTGCCGCCATCGCAGGAACAGAGAATGAGTTTAGAATCTACCACTGTCTTCCATAATTTATAGTTGGGGTTCGTCCAGGACCATTACACTGTAGTCTGAGGAAGTATTTAGAAGAAAATGGTTAATTATCAGAAAGAAGTTTATCATTAAGTCAATTATTCTTTGTAATAACAATTTATCTCAAAGACATTGAAAATTAACTGTTCAAGGAGGAAGGAACAATGGGATAGGAATATGGACAAGAAAATATTATTTTGACAAAAAAACAAGCGATGGACAAAATGCATTTCGGAGAATGGCCTTATCTCACAAAAACCAGACTTTTGTGAAGCTAAACTTAACATCATGACTGAGTGGTCAGCACTCCTCTGTCATATCTGGGAGGTCCTGGGTTCAAATCTTGGCCTGGAGTCCAGCCATCCTGAGGTTCTTCATGGTTTTCTTCAGTTCCATTAAGCAAATGCCTGAACAGTTTGTAAATCAGGCCATGACAACTAATTTCCAATTAATTCATCATCCTATTATTCACTACTACATAGTCTGAGTTACTGATAACTTTATTAAATAAACCACTAATAGGTAAATAATAATACTTAACATTTAAGTAATGTACCACTTACTGCATGTGTATTAATCTCACAGAAATGATCATCATGAACATACATCCTATGTCTTATCCATCACCTGTTTTCTTCGAATGCAACGTTTCAAAGACTGGGTCTTTGGTGGGACCTAATTTAAAGGGTATGCTTAAAATACAAATCATCAAGATTACACCCTTCAGATAGGCTCCACCAAGCCTGAAGATGGAAGCTGACTCAGGCTCTGAAACACTGCAATCCAAGGAAAATGGGATGATGGATAAGACCTAAGAAACCGAAACTCATTGCACTTGCTGTTGGTACTGCATTCTTCTGGGTTCTAAGGGATTGGACCTTATAAGCTTTAATACCAATCAGTACCAAAGTAGACGCGTTTATGTCACCATATAACTTTCACAGCGACTCATTATTTATGATAAAACCAATATATTTGTAAGGTTTCAGCAATTTTTTACGAAAATTTTACTAAAAACATTACTGTACTAAGAACTGAAATATTTATCACGTCAAAAAACTTGCAGATTCTAGTACTGTTATGCACAGAGTGCTGGAGTGCTGCAGGGTAATGGGGAGCTGTAAAAATGTTCACACCACACCACACAAAAACTTAGTGGGAACACATGCATCTCATAAACCTAAAATGCACAAAAACCTCAATGCAGACAGCCTCGCAGATACAAGAAAGTCTAGAATCAAGGTACATTCAACCTGGAATTGGTGAGCTTAATGCAAAATTTAAAAGTAACACTATACTACCACGGCATTTACCTTATGAACAGTTTTCCGCAGAACAGAATTAAAAGACTTACATTTTGGAAATACATTCCATCTGTCCATGATTTGAACCAAACTGTCAATATCACTTTCAATGCCCTTTGCAACTCCAGGGTACTGAATCTTCATTGCCACTTCAGTCCCACTTGGAAGCACCGCAAGATGTACTTGGCCAATCGACGCAGCGGCAAAAGGCATTGGTTCAAATGTTGTCACTTTTGAACGCCAGTCTCCCCCAAGTTCAGATTCTAATACTTTCTACAAGGAAATACAAAAGCATCACAACTGAACAGGGAAACAAAAAACAATGTAGAAAACAAAGACAGCCAGGACAATTTCAGAAATGGTTATTATTTGCCCGTTCTGACATACGGCATTAATAAAGAATTAAGAAATTAGCAAAAGGAAATAAAATATGAAGCAAGAACATTAGGTGAGATCTGAAAAAAAAAACACTGCAAGAAAATTATTGTCCTTGGATTTTTGCAACCGAAGTCCAATGTATAACTCTGATATTTTAGGATGGTCTGCATCAAATATTAGAAAGTGGGATAGAAAGAGCACGCTTGGTAAAAAAAATAGGACAGGAATGACATCCAATAGGTACTAAGCACATGGTTAAGGTGCTCACCCTGTGTAATGAAACTGTGCACACAGACCTCACAAATATAATGCGGTTAAAACAAAATTACTTCAAGATCTACCACATTAAACAGAATATCAAATGTTTATCATTCTGTTACAGGATATTGTAGATGCGTCATATTGTGATTTATTTAAATAGTATTAAAAATATATTAAAATTGGCCATCAATCTTTTAATTATCTTATATTGTGATTGACGGCCAATTTTAATATATTTTTAATACTATTCTGTTACAGGTTTCCATTTACTTTTAAGTCCACTACTTCTATGCCAACAGCACTTTGTTTCTGACAAGCTGTCCGTCCAATATTATTTTTTTTCCTTTTACTTAATATTATGTCCACCATGAATTCCACTGACTGCAACTGAATCCCCTCCCCCTACAGTAAAACTTTAATATTCAAACCACTGAGGTACGCTCTGTGCAACAGAAATCAAGAGCTCAAAATTTTCTATTCAGAATTAGGAGCGATGTAAGTATATGACTGGCATCACAATTCCAGTCATTTCAAATCTCCTTCTATTTGTCCATGTGTCACACAGAGTACACATGCACTCTCACGATTTGTAACAGGAAACAAAGAGGAAGGATAAATGACATATAAGCATTTTTAATGGTATGCTGGCTAATGAGGATTATTAAAGTAACACACAGTGCTCGTATACTTCAGAGTATATAGTCTGATTCTCTAGCCGATTGCCTTAAGGTACACCGAACCACCAGCCAATTGCCTACTGTCAGGTAACAGACACTCACCTCCTAGCTATGGATCTTTATGCCAATGGGTTAATATATGTACCATAATTCTGATCTGTTCAAGGTCTGCTGAATAATAAATGTTAGCCATTTTGGCCACTGAAGCAACATCATCAGCATAAACCAGAAACTGTCGTGTCCCACGACACCTGCTCTCAACTATGAAAATGAAGCAGGAAAGTAAGAACCTATGTACATTGTGTAGTGTTTTTTAAAGTGGTAGTTACACAGCTGGCCAAGGATCGGTGCCATGTTTACAAAGACGAACCACTGGATTCTGTCCTAAGCCAATTACAACCAGTACATACCTTAATGTCATATTTCTATAAGATCCATGTTAATTTCAATGTTTTTTAAGATTCAGAGGTGGTCACATGACGACACACATACAAATTATGAAACTCCATTCTATGAAATTTCCTTCGCCGCCGACTTACTTCCTGTTCCTCACGTTGAAATACTCTCCCTCATGCTTTGTTTCTAATCTCACTATTACCAAATATATTTCTTCTGAAATTAGTAAATACAGTAACGCTATATATGTCTCCATTTTCTTCGTCAATGTGCCTTAAAATAATACTCGCACACATAACGCATGCCTTTTCACATTTATTATCAGACAAATCACTGAAATACTGAATGCATTCTCATGACGCTCATAAATCACTGCTCTGTATATACACATTTCAGTATTCTACAAACAACAGCCATATACTTGGAGCACAGATGGACTGCTTTACCTCTACTTGCCATGTAGGCATAAAATCTGCAGACTGTCTCACACGCTCAAACGCCTTCTGCAACGTAGGGCTGATAACTGTGTTGTCCTGCATACTCAAAATCTGGCCGAGTTTCAATGCAGCACCTACGGACAAAACACTTCTGGATGCAACAAAAGTGTTCAAGCACATGTAACAAGACACTGAGGATCAGCGACACACACTCAGCAATCAGAAAATGGTCAGACTGGCTGATCTAAAACTGTAAACTAACAAAACCAGTCATCATACAATTTCCATTTATAAAAAGTTAAAAATCCACTTACTATAGTTAGAGTAATTACAGAATTTTCAGAGCCAGGAAAATTTAAGAGACTGTTAGATACACCATTTGATACTGGAAAATTTCTAAAGAGGAATGAAGTTATATATAAAGTGAAATTTTCGCGACGACCGAAGTTGATGAACTACTCTCGGGCAACCAGCCACGTCAGGTGGATGAATGGTGAATGAACCATTTCTTCCGCCAACGTTTCGAGAGCCATCTCTGCTCTCATCCTCAGGACAGCTGCGAAACGAAACTGGTCCTATGTAGCGCGCTCACCGATGGGAACTGGCGGTGGATGGCAGGCAGTGGCATCGTGTTGCTGGTGGCCTGTCTGCTGCTTTGTATTGCGCTGACCAATAGGAACTGGCAGATGAGGTCAAGTGCTCGCTCTCGCTGGCTCAGCCTTCTGGGCAGACAGCAGTTGTGTCACAGGATACCAGGCCCAACTCAGCGTGAAACCATCATCCCTACTGAAGTTGTTGTCTTGCAGCCGGATCTCAATGATTCCCATCAGCAAACACGCTACATACGACCAGTTTCATTTCGCAGCTTCCCAAAGGATGAGAGCAGAGATGGCTCTTGAAACAATGGCGGAAGAAATGGTTCATTCACCATTCAGCCACCTGACACGGCTGGTTGCCCGAGAGTTGTTCATCAATGAAGTTATATTCTACAACATGCACTGCTCACCATATAGAGAAGCCATCAGCTTATAAGCAGTATAGATAAAGATCATACAGATTATTAAGTATAGAAGAAAGAGATCAAACTTCAAAGCAAAACATAAGACCAGAAAATAAGAAAACTGAATCAACAGCTGGTAAACTTAAGGATGTAGGGATTTTGGCATGTGTTATTCCTTTAATAG